CCTTCCACAGTACTCATCTTACCTTTTTCTCTATCTTTGTATCTGTCTGCCTCTTTTACATTTGTGAGTTGCTCTTCTGTTCCCCACCCCTCGAGTTTCTTCTACTTTGATGAGCTTTCCCTCTGTGAAGCCCGAAGTCAGCTAAATGGCTGATGATAGCTATCAAAACGCCTGCCAATTGAAATAAATAAAGTTTCAGCACACATTCGCACCAGATTCCAATCGTTCTGTTGAACGTTTTCATCGACATCGCAAATCTACTTTAATCACAACTTTTTCTGGTCGGGACGTTTTCTCACCATTCTGATTGCAATTTAGGAGACACAATTGGGAAAGAATGTGGTTGTCCTGTAGAATTTGTTTTGGTACTCCTCTTGGGCTCCTTTGTAGAAGTTGATGAAAGGTAAAATTAAGGAGAGAGAGAACGATCGATCATTTGCCTTTCGATCACACTCCGTAATCTCAAGCAATATCAATGAAGATATGTAAGTATTTTGTGAAATGATTGTCAGCCAAGTCCCCCCCCCCTCCTGTGTTTCATTGAATGGTCCACTCTGCGCACCTTTGCTCATCATCTGGAATCTTATTCCCAGGGCATTACCAATAAAACTCTTATCCAGCAAACCTCCGGTTTGGTTCATTCAAAGGGATTAGTATCAAGTGAATTGGCTGATTATGTTGAGAAGTAGAAAATTGTCTCGTCGGGTCTCTGATTAAAAAATTTCGCCCTGACGCCTATTTCTTGGCTATATCCGACCTAGAAGGTTGGCTTGTACTTCTAGTGGATGTGCTCTTGTCACCATAGCTCACCTAACATCTGGTTTAGGTGCTAATAATGGCACAATGATTAATCATTTTCATTTCGTACTCCTTTATGCATAGAAAGATACAAAATATATATGTTGATCTCAACACAAAGGCAACGAAGGTGAAAATGAAAACTCAATCTTTGCCTTCAATAGCGCCTTCAATTTTGGTTAAGGGGGGGGGGGGGTATTCGAGGTGTTTAAAGTATAAATTCACGAATGTCAATACGATCGAGTAATTTATCTCTATGCACAGTTTTGGACAAAATTCAGATTTTAACTGAATACGAGCTTGATATCTAATGGAAAGAGGCAGTGAGTAGCGACGGTTGAAAAAAATATGCGTGTATATTTTGATTTGCCTTTGTTTATATAAAAAAGATAGGGATGGGAGCAGAAGGTGCTCGTCTTTATGAATCCTTGAAGAAGAGACCCGCGAAGCATCCTGTAAGAAAGCACGCTACATTGCCACCGATCATGCCCGGCAGAATTAGTTTCGACAAGTCTCTCCTTCTATGAGGTAGAAGAGTCACCATAGCACCAAGCATAATACCAATTGAACCGATATTTGCGAAACCACAGAGGGCATACGTGGCTATAACTTCAGCCCGTCGGGTCTAGAATTGGGAAAAATACCATAATTTAGCTAAACTTACTTAAAAGAAAAGGATGAATTGATTCATTGTGGCCAAACTCACATAAAGAATACCATACTTGAAAAGCAGATCTGTGCCATTTGCAGCGGTCAGTAGGGCTGAACCATTTTGTAGAAATTCAAACTTTTGAGCTGTAGGATGGAGTTCATTGTAACGTTGTGAGTCCCCAATTATAATGCCCAAGCGTTCGAAGGCTACGAATTCGTTCAACATGGTTTTAACACCAATCAATTCGGCTATCTTTAGACAGTCTTCGGAGGGGACGCCCATCGTGAAAGCAATCGGCCAGAGGACGTAGGAGAAAATCAACTGAAAGCGAAATAATGAAAGAGTTATTGCTAATGCTCACAGAATCATGGGCAAGTACTAGAATTACTATTACTTGGCGAATGAGAGGGAAAAGTCATTAAATATGGTCTAATCAACTATGTTTTAACGAAATTTCGTGTATGTGCATATAAAAATATTTTCCATCACTCAATTATGACAGAGCAGAATGTCTGATGAAGGGCTCACATTCTGATGTTTCCATCTGAAAAATATTTTAGCCGATGCGGATAAATGTCCATTCAAAGTCTTTATTTTTCTTTCGCTGAAAGCTGACTTAAAATAAAGGAGCATGCAGAAGCCCTAGTCAATATACTGGCAACCATTTCAGTCGATAATTCTTCAATTTTCTCTGATTTTATGTCAAAACTCTATCGCTGAATGAACTTGTTCAGCCACTTTTATTGGTTACTAGGCAATTCCATAAAGCTATCTCTGACTCTCACCTCGAATGTAAGATCTTGCTCCATGCACGCTCGTCGGCCCAGCCAGACAAGAGTTTGGTTGAAGAAGTTGTAAATACTCAAGAAGGCAATCAAGTTTGCAGCAATGCCCGCACAAATTGGGATTGAGTCCATAGCCCCGACCATAGCGGCCTCAAGCACATTGTTATAAGGACTCTTGATCTTCCCAAGTTCACCAAAGCCTGCCAAGGGGGCCTTCTTTGTCTCAGGATAGATGACTTTGGAAATAGCCAATGCGGCGGGAGCGGACATGACACAAGCCATCAATAAGTGATTTGCTGGAATCTAAAGGAGTAAAATTCAAATTTATCCACACTTATATACCACCACCTTTAGGGAAAGTTTAGTTCTTCACTTACACCGAAGTTAATGTAGGCGGCAAGGACAGATCCGGCTATTGACGCAAAACCATTGACAATGATAGCCATCAATTCAGAGTTAGTCATCATGTGCATGTAGGGCCTGGTTATCAGAGGAGATTCAGTCTAAAAGTGATAAGAACTCTCCTATCATCTTAAATCTTAGTAAATAATAGTTCAGATGAACGGGAACTGACTTACCATGGAAACGAAAATATTAGCAACAGCATTTAGAGTCTCCGGACCTGTTGTATTAAGGACTTTCCTTACAACAACAGAAGGTTTATCAATTAGGATTCCAATGATACCGAGGTGGAATACAACGGCAATGAAAGACGAGAAGAAGATGACGACTGGAAGGGTCTATAAATACACAAAAAACAAATTAGAAAAAATTGCTTGAGGAAGTTTAGAATTCATGGAGGATTTATAGTAGCCTACATCAAAGGCAAAACAGTGGTAGTCACCGAAGACGAATCCAGATCCGGCAGTACTGTGATGAAGGAATTCAGCCATACGCTTACCCAAGAATTCGAAGGCTACGTAACCTGGGCGTGTTTGTAGTGTCAAAACGGCGAAGACTAGTTGGACAAAAATACCAACAAGGACTGGTTGCCAGTTGATCTAGTCGAAAAATGGTAGTAAGGATCAGCCTCCAGACAACGAGTTAAACTACTGATTTGATCTATATTTAAGATATAACTTACACGGCCCGGATGGAATGATATTGCTATGCAAAGCAGAAGCAGGACTACTATTCCGGAGAGCGAAACCAAGTTTCGAACATCCTGAAGGATGACGAAGAATACCAGGCAGAGAATGACGAAGATTAACATCAAGGAGTAGCCGAAACTACAATCGTCGACAGGCTTGGTTTATTTTGCAATGGACAAAAGAGCTTTAAATAATGTTTGAAATTCTTACATTGCGCTCGCTAGCTTCTTCTTTTTCTTTTGAGTTTTTTCATCCGGGTCAATTCTATCCCACATCGATTGCCATCCGTCGCGGACTTTCTCCTTAAAACTTTCATAGCCACTACGGATTCCGTCGCCACAAGATCCAAATGGAGACCAGCAACCACCTCGCAGTCGTCCAAGTCGTATTAGTCGTCTGATAATTTTGATAATTACCACGATCCAAACTAGAACCGAAAGCCACAGTAACCGGATATCGTCCTCTTCTTTCAATTTGTTACAATAGCAGCACCAGGCCACATAGCCAACATCGATTAAGAGGAGAAGTATTAGGCCACAAAGACCGGAGATACCGTCACAACATTTTGGCTCAACACCTTCATCGAGAGGTTTTTTCTTGAATATGGCTTTGCGACCTCTTGCATAGTAGTCGAGGACAATATTTAGACCTCTTGGCTTCTTTCGAGGCATGTTGGGGAAATCGGATCCAACCCACTCCCTCATTGATTTGCTCGGTGTTTCTTCACTTGATTCATCGTAGCTGGAGCCTCCGTCTTCATCACTGTCGTCAGTTTTATAAACGTCTGATTCTTTCGCGATACTGGATTCTATGTCATCGATGTCCTTATTCTTCCTTGGCATGGTGAACTATGGTGAAATGGAACTGCAAGAAATATGTCTACAGATATCTGAGGCCCTTTTTATACTACGGAGAGGAAGATTTTAGTTGGTGGTTAGTCGAGCATAGTCATGTGAATGGATGAGCATGTGTCTGTATTACCCCTTTGCACTTGCTTGATTAGGTGCGGTTAATTAAGCGTTTCTTTCGCATGGAGGCGTTTTTTTTAAAAAATAAGTGAAAAAGATGACGAAGATAAGATTCATTATTTTGGCGGTTTTAATAATTTGAATGTTGGGTGTGCGATAGACTTACCTCCACGTAGTTCACCCTGGGCAACGTATACTCATACGGCAAAAAAGTCTATTAACTGGCAGTTGACTTCTCACTTCAAACTGCCATCATCCCACTGTATGTCGTATTCGACTACTTCTACAGTACTCACCTCGCCTTTTTTCTACCTTAGAGTCTGTCTCTTTTACATATTTTGAACACTGTTCTGTTCCCCCCAACCAACTTGACTTTTTTCACTTTGATGTTCCCTCCCTCTGTGAAGCCTGAAGTCAACTAAAGGGCTAATGATAACTGTCAAAACGCCTGCCATTTGATATAAATAAATAAATTATTTGAATGCATATTATAATTTTTGCACAATCTTATAGC